TTTTTAATCTTTTTCTTTTGACGCAATCTGTTAACATCTTCGGAGCATTCATTTCTTAGTCTACCGACTCAACAATTTCAGTATATCTCTTATGCAGTTAAAACCAGTCATTTTTTTTTGAGGAACTGCTAATGTATGTCTTTAATTTTGCAAAGGCACACAGGTTTAGGGCAAGTTTTCAGGTTGTATTAAGTGCCTAGACAGGATCTAGGGTCACAGTTAAAAATTGCCGTTCTATAGTAGCTTTCTATATTAAGCCCCACGCACAATGAATTTTGACCTTTGACATCGAAACAGGCAGAATTAGAACGCTAAAATATTTTCCATATAAATTACTGGTAATTGCTTCTTCGCTTCACGCCATTTAGGATAGCAGGAAAATATTATAATGTAGGTTTTTCGTAAAAAGTTAAGTCACGGAAGTGTTCTGAAAGAAGATGGAAAGTGCTACACCAAAATCCGAACGCGCACTGGATTAGCGAAAGATACATTCCAAAGGCGAAACCAAATACTGAGAAAAAATCGTTAGAAGCAATGGAAAAAATACTGAATTGCTATGGGATATCAATCCTCTTGTATGGCAATAAATGTTGCACAATCTCGTCACAGATGGAGAGAAAACAGAAGGTAAAAGAAATGTGGTTCTACAGAAGGATACTGAGATTTCCATAGACTGAGCGAGTAAGCAACGACGAAGTCTTAGAGAAAATAAGTAACAAAAAGAACTCGTATGCTCAGAAGCATGAAGAGACAGCTGAAATTACTTGGGTATATAAATAAGGAAGGATGGCTTGGAAAATATAAACTGCATGAGGGCATATCAATGGCAAGAAAGGTAGGGGAAGGCACGAGTTACAAACCTGATGAGTTTGTGTGGATGGATGGACGAAGTGGGAGCAGGAGGGTTGCAAAGGGTTGGGTGGGGGAGAAACACTGTTAATAGACATAAGGAAAGGAAGTTACTGAGAACGCACATAGAACTAGCTGAAAGCGAAATTCTATATAAAAGCGACACATACATATATTTGTTTAAGAAATATTGGCCATATTATCGCATGTTAAATCAACAGCTACTATTTAAAGAATTGTACTCTAAAAACGTTCTGAACGTTTATGAAGGGCATGCTACAGAAGTCGGCACTCGAAATTATAACCGAGTCAGCGTCAGTCCGTTGCAGTTTCAGAGAGTGCGACACTGAGAGGAATAGGGTGGGATGGCCATCTTAGATAAAGGCAGTTGCTTGTAGTGAGAGGATAAACCAGGTTTCGTGACCTGACGATCTGTTTAACTGGATTCTGCATGTATCATTCGATATGTACTGCAGAGGAAGGTCCTGAAATCAAATGGGTGGATTACTTCCTGGCAAGTTGAGGTCCAAATTCATTCCATTGACACTTTTTCTACTCTGATTTTCTTTCACCTCCAACCAACGCTTGCGAAGCCAAACGGCGACAGAGAATGGATGACGGGAGCAGGTTTTGATAAAACCGGAAGCTTCTAGTTGTGAACCTGCATGTTGGCAGCAATTTTGGCCATCAACACCATCATCATAAAAGAAGCGATCAGCAAAGAAGTTAAATACTTGATTATGAAATAAAGCCGACGACGACAACCGTTTGTTTCCTTAAAAGTGATTTAACACTTTGTTGTTTGTAGATTTCATTGTAATATTTTAAGACCTTCGCGAAGAATTGAAATAACTTGTAATTGTCACCAGAAAAATGAAGTTCAAAAACTTTCGGCATCGCTTTTTTTAGTTTTCAGTCATCTCCGATTTTTCGATATCGATTAGCATAGTATTCTTCGTGCATTTAAAGTCCACCATTCATTGCATGGTAGAGTAATAGATAGCGGCTCAGAGTGAGAAATCGGAGAGCCAGTTTCGAATTCCAGTCGAGTTCCTGACAATCATTTACGTACTGATACCTGAAGAATCCATTTCTCCCCAACCAGCTATAGGTAAAATACCAAGACAGATTGAGTGACAAACGGTCGAAGGGAAGGAAAACTCTGATTTCAAACCAGACTAGAGGAGGTTAGACACCACCAGACAGTATTTCTCATGAAACACCACTGCTGCTATGGCTGCAGTAGATGTGGTGAGTAAGGAATTATGGGATTTGTGACCGTGCCACTATAACTTTTAATACAGTGTTTTGTAGTGGGTTCGAGACCAAATATTTAGATTATGAGACGCAGGTTCGAATCTCACTTCAATGATGAACATTTCTTGATAATATTGGCCTTAGCCGAGTTCGAATTACATACACTTAAGCGATATTAATGTTGTAAGACCGTAACATACCTACAGCATGGAATCTTCCATGACTATATAAAGTATGCGATATAACACTCTAGGAGGAGAGAGAGAGAGAGAGAGAGAGAGAGAGAGAGAGAGAGAGTATTTTAATACTGTAGTATCAGCCGCGTACGACTACCAATATTGGACACTAGCACATAGTAAGCTCTGCTTACACTTACACTATCTTTGTAACCTTTTTGTTTAATATATCTTTCTTACCTCAAATCTGTGTTCCGTGTTTTCTTTCCGTGGTCCCAACTTTGGGTCCACATCAATTAACCTTGGAAAAAATATGAATCCATCTTTTCCATCCAGCTATGGGTAAGCAGCAGTGGAGATTGGCCCCTATAGCCTTGATCGGCAACCAGTCTTAGAGAAGGAAAACTCTAAATTCAAACAAGCCTGGAGAGGGTTAGGCTCCGTCAGGTTGTCTTGCCGATAAAAGACCACTGCTGCTATAGCTGCAGTAGATGTGGTGCCCCTACGACCCTCATGGGTTACTGAACTTGTGTTTGTGATTCAATGCATAACAGCTCGAAAACAGATATACTATTATTTACATCATAAATATTCTTCTCATCTTTGTTATTATTATAACAACGTTCGGCTTTTGAACCGCTCGGCCTTCATCAGGTGTATGCCGATTCGGATAACCTACAAGATATTTCAATAGGAACTTTGGGACAATAACCCATTGGATGAAAAAGTTGGTTCCTGAATTATTTGGTGACATAGTAATTTTGAGTTCAATCGTTGGACCGGGAAGTGTGTGCTTGGACTCAGTGGAAACGAGGCGTGCAATAACTGAGCAGTATCCAAATAAGAACTACACGAGATATTCGTGGTCATAGTAGCGGAACGAAAACAATCCACACCCGCAGATTAAATAACGGGCTCAGTTCAAAATTCCCAGTTGCTTACACGGATTGACACACACCTGATGAAGGCCGGAGGGCACAGTGACCGAAACGTTCTGCTAAAAAAAAAAAAAAAATATGAATTCAATAGATATATCTAATATAGATATATCTATATTATTATTTACATTATTTACATGCGGACTATTGTCATCATCTTTCTTGTCATCATAACGTTTCGACCGGAGTGCAAAATGGCCGAAACACTGTGATAACAACAAGGATTAGGATACTAGTTATAGATATAACTAAGGAGGGCAATAGTCTGCGAACAAAAAAGACAGAAACTATAGATATATTAACTGTGATAACATATTTCAGCATAAAAGTATATCACAATCATTTTGGGTCGACGTCTCTGGCTTGTGTTTTTAGTGAAATTTTTTAAAATAGCGATTTTTTACTGCCAAGTTTCTCCAGGACGTAAGCGATCTTAGCTATCTACAGCTAGAATATCCACAGCTATCCGCAGACATATCTATAAGTGTACCATTGCCTTGAATATTGCTGCCTCATCTGATCTGGTGCTCGAGTTATTTATTTAAAAATTCTTGATAAAATCCAAAGAATCAATGTTATTTGTCCTGACCTGATCGGTTTTAGTCTCTTTCCCACCGCCGTAATGTAGCTTCCTTGTAACTTTTCTATAAATACTTTCAGGATAATTGTTCTAAGGAATTCTCCTTTATGGTACCCAGACGTTATGGATTTAAGTGCAGTGCCAGATTTGCAGGAAGGTCACACCATTTTACAGTCAAAATGATTAGATGTAACCATAAGTTCTATGGTAACAATTTTTTGTCTCGCACTTCTCGCTTCTGGAACTCTCTTCCGGCTTTTTGCTTTCCAGTCAAGTTTGATCTTCAAAAATTTAAAGCAATCGTTCTCTTTTTAATTCCTGTTCTTTTATTGTTATCTCTCGTTAATGTTTTCTTTTTCTCATATTCTCTCTCAGTAATTCCTTGCGTCTTAGTGGTTTTATAGCTTTGCTTGGTGGAAATGGTTAAAACAAATTACTCTTTTATTATCTGTGGAGATGCCATGTCCTCTTGAGAATGACAGTGTACTGCTTTCCAGTTGCCCTCTCGATTAATACAATACTAATGATAAATATTAGTTTCCTCAGCTTCTCGTATACAAGGCATTCCGCATATAAGCTGCTTTCACTATTTTATGTCTGACAAATGGGCAAAGTTCCAAACCACAAGTATAAGCCGAGGCATTAATCAACTCATTACGTTGAAATGGCGTAGTTTTGTAAATTTGCACGAGGGGAGAATATTTTCATGAAGTTATAATTTAATATTGAAGTATCATTTAGAATAGAGTTTTTGTTTAACAACTCCATTACGTAATGATTTTCATCTAATTTATAAAGTTTTCTCGAATATTGACTTACTTCCTTTTTAAAATATCGCCATTTTCCGAATGTAACAGACCTTTAACCTACAAGTCGAAATATGATGTCTGTGATTATTGATTCGTTTTCCACGACTAATAACCCTTTGCATGCAATTTAAAGCTAGAAAATATATTTGATTGTAAGATTTTTTGGCGATAATAATAGTGATACAAGTTTTACCCAATTAGCTGCGGAAACAAGTTTTACTAATTAACCCATAGCTGGGGTAAAACAAGTTTTATCAATTAACCAGAAGAAGAGGTGCATCCATAATTTTACCCAAGGTAAAAGGAATATAACGATCACAACTAGAATTGGAACTCGGCTCTCTGATTAACAATTCCGACACATTATCCATAGGCATACTCGAGCTTAACGCATCTGGTATTCCCAAGCGGTCACCCATCTAAGTACTGACCAGGCTAGATGTTGCTTAACTTCAGTGATCATATAGAAGCCAGTCTGCTATTACAGAGATACCATGGTATTCCATGAGTATGTTCAACGTCCGGAACAAATCTCTGATAATGGAGCATCTTTGTAAATCGATTGGAACATTTAAATAAACAAAAATTAATTAGGGGACTGGCCAGTTACATGCTGGCAGAAACAACATTCCGTTTCGCCAGGTCTATCACTAATGTGTTAATGGCCATCACTGAATTTGTTTATCAAGCTTTAAATAAGAGCGATGGAGCTGTGACTCTACAGCGTGTCTGAAGTAATTATGCAAATCAAATAAACCTCAACACATCAAAAAGCTCTGAACAAATATATGTCAAATTCAAACTCGTCCATTTCCACCCTTAGTAAAATATTTACCAAAATGACTTAGTTTTCAAGATATTTGGAATTTACGAAAATGAAATGATTGAAGTTAATAAGCAGATTAAACTAATATTAGCTTAATATACTGAAATATAATAAAAACTATTTTTTTCTTTTTGTCCATAATATATGCTGAAACATGGGTAAAGAGAAGAAACGTATTTAAAGGGAAGGACCTAAAAACTGATGAAAAACAGAAAATAACAAAGTTATTGAATGAGGGAATGTCCACATTGGCGATATCAAATGAGCTTTGCAGAGATCATCGAACGATGATGAAAAATAAGCAAGTTGAGAACTGGAAGCAAAGAAAAAAGGCTTTAGGAAAATGCTTCTCCCATATGAACGTAAACTACGACGGTCATTCAATAAATAAGGTGAATTTTTCGGTATAAGGACTTCTAATACAGATAGAAGCTTACTTTTTTTGTTTTACTTCTTTTTCACATTGATTTAATTTCTTTTTCAGATTAAAAAATACTTTGAGAGTTTTGGCGATTAACAAAGATGGCCGACCAAGAAGCATGCTCCAGGATTGAACAGCGGTCAGTTATCAAGTTTTTGGTTGCTGAAGGGTGCAAACCAGTTGAAATTCATAGAAGAATGTCAACTGTGTATGGTACCACATGTTTCAGCCAAAAAATGTCTACAAGTGGGCTAAATTGTTTAAAGAAGGACGGAGCAGTGTTGAGTATGAAGACAGGCCTGGGAGTCCAACAGAAGTTAGGTCTCCTGAGGTGATCGAATCAGTCAGTGATCTCATTCAGTCTGACAGAAGAACTACTGTGAACTGCTGAGGCATTTCAAGAAAGACATAAAGAACAAACGCAGGGGTCATCAGTCAGAAGGAGTCATCTTGCATCATGACAACGCAAGGCCTCACACAGCAGCCCAAACGGTGCAGACCATCAACGGGCTGGGCTGGGAACTGCTCCCTCATCCCCATTACAGCACAGACCTTGCTCCTGCAGACTTTCACCTGTTTGGTCCCTTGAAAGCGTTCACGAGAGGCACGAAGTTTAAAAGTGACGATGAAGTCAAAAGTGTTGTGAGCGACTGGCTGAGACATCAGTCCAAAGATTTTTACGCTGAGGGAATACGGAAGCTTGTGCACAGATGGGGAAAAGTGTGTGACAGAGCTGGGAGACTACGTTGAAAAAAAAAGCTTCTATCTGTATTAGAAGTCCTTATACCGAAAAATTCACCTTATTTATTGAATGACCCTCGTAAAACGAGCTATAGCGAAACAACCACCTTTGACCAGCGCTCAGATCTTTGAAAATGCTGAAATTGAGGGAGTCAAGAAGGATAATAAGTGTAGAATACTTTGTGAATTGAAATCTGTAAAAACTCTCCTAGGCAACCTCCTCTCACTATTTTAAAGCGTCAAAGAATGGCCAAGAAATACATGAAAACGGATTTCCTAAAGTAATTTCTAAATCTCGATTGATATTTAATGTACCTGATGGACGTGCCTAAGGATACAATTCAGACGTGCCTGTGGCTAAAATAAGGCAACAAGGAACAGGTAGTGGTATGATATGGGCTGGAATTTTTGACCAAACCATTATTGGACCATTAAAAGTCGATGAAGGAGTTAAACTAATGCTAACTATTGCGATTTTATGAAGAAAAAATTTCTTTGCAGGGTACAAGTCCGAGTTTCGCAGTTTCAAAATGAAGTGTGTATTCATGCACAATAATGCTCCTTCTCTTGAATCAAAGTTTACCCATGAATTCTTTAGCATAAAAGATTTACAGGAAAGAAGATAATGGAATGACAACTATATCCGATCGAAAACCTATGGTCAATTGTGAAAATGAAATTGTATGAAAGTAGCAAACAATATAACATCAAAATGTTGACCATGTTTGCCGCAGTCTCTGAATATAGAATCCAGTGAAGTCCGTAATCTGTTCAATATCAGAGGTCGGCAGTGAAGATTCAGAGAAAGTAGAGGTTGTTAAGTAATTCTTTAAGTCTTTGATATCAGGTCGGCAGTGAGGATAATTTGGGAGAAAAAACAAAATGGCTGCCTTTATACACGTCGGATTGAATATTTTGAGCTTTCTGATTGGTTAAACCTTCTATTGGTGAACTATAAAATGAGTCAGCTCATTTAGGCTAGCTCACTAGTACATACATATATTAAAAAAATGCAACACAAAGCTGACATATGGGAAGCAATTCAAACTACTATGTTGGAAATTGAACCTGCTGAAGTAAAAAATTAACAAAATCAGTGGATAATAGATTACTGTCTGTCATAGAGAAGAAGGGTCACTATATTAAAATGTAAACGATTATCATCTCTGTTATTTGTTCTGTTATAGGTGTTGATCAGTTTTCGATGATTTTATTAGCTTTTTATTGAAGTAAAATATGATTATTTGTTTTTTTTATAGAATATGTCAAATAACTTCTATAACTTCAATAAAACATATTGATACTACCTAAAATTTGAACTCAGGGTTTGTTTTAACATCGAAATTTAAAACTTGACATTTTTTCAAACCAAATTTGAATTATTATTTATATGATTTGTTTAATAACAGGGTTTAGATATCTTGAAGGCGTTAGAGTTTGGCATGCTGGCCTTCTACGGAAGCTCCAGAGATACGGTGTCACAGGACGAATATTTGGTTTCATCCAGTTGTTCTTATCAAATCGTGAAATGAAGGTCGTGTTGAATGGTCTCTCTCTTCCAGATCATTTCATACCGAAGCTGGGGTCCCCCAAGGCTATATCCTGGTCTTACGCTGTTTCTGATCTTCATCAATGACTTCCTAAAAGCCATTACTTCTCAACTAGGTATTTATGCAGATGATACTACTATTTACTCATGTCTTAGTAGCAAATCCGTCAAATATGACAAAGGAAACCTGGCAGCTGCTCTTGAAAAGGACTTCTAATCAGTGGTTAACTGGGGCAAGAAGTGGCTTGTAAATTTGAATGCTTCTTTCTTTTACCACCAGAGAGGCTTTTCTACCTGCCATCAGCATGGCTAGTTCTAGACTCTAGGAGAGCAACGCACTAACTCTTCTTGGCTTCCCGTTTTCCATTGACATGAAGTGGAGCGACTATATCGAATCAATAGCTGTATCTAATGCAAGGAAATCTGGGTCATTGTGTTGTGCCAGGAAATTTTTCTCGTCAAAATCCATCTTGTACATTTAGAAATTTACCATTCGTCCGTACATTGGATACTGTTACCGTATCTGGTCTCGAGACTTAACAAAATTCACAGAAGAATCTGTAATCAATTCTGACCAGACATCTTGACATGTGTTACTTTCTCACCGACTTGATGTGGCTTTCCTCTATCTTTTCTACAAATATTTTAATGGCAATCGTTCTAATGAATTTTTCCCCGTTGCTCCGATTACAAGAATTTAAGCATGCTACTAGATTAGCATCTGGATCCCATTTGTTTACTGTTGAAATAGCTAAATGCAACTGCCTCTTCTACGACAACAGTTTCCTTTTTCGGACTCTCCACTTCTGTAACTCTCTTCCGTTTTCTTGCTTTCTTGATACAATATTTGAAAATCTTAAATACAACGTCAATCGCCATCTTCTATCTTCATGAATCCCATTCATCTTTCGTCCTTTCCTTAATCCACCTTATTCTCAGTCTTTTCTTTCACTTTCATTCTCTGTAAAACCCCCACATACTAGTGACATCATCGCCTTTCTTGGGATGGGATGATTAAAAAAATGCTTGTAAAACATTTGTTTTTAAAAGTAAAACACTCTTTTATGGTAAAGCAATCACTCCAGATATGTTGGATCTTTTTTTACCCCCCCCCACACACCATTTTATCATCGATTTTTTTTTGTCATATATTTCTCGACTTATACACGGGTATAAACAGTATGTGTTTTTTCTTTCGGTAAACACATTTATTTGTTGTCCCAATATACCTATAGTTTTCAAGAGTATTTATACGGGTAAATTTTATTTTATGTGCCACATGCTTTCAGAATATGGCTGATCTCCACAGTTTCTTGTCTTTTGCTGCTTTAAGTAACTTTTAGCCTTTACTTATTCCCTCTCCTAGGACTTGGGTAATGGTTAACGACCTTAATTCAATTAGTCATTAGAAATGAATTTGATTCTCACTCAGTGACTCATGCAAAATTCAAAATCAACCAAATTAGTTCGATCCTCACTGGGTGTCCATACAAAAAAATCAACAGTAAATATCCCAACTGGAGTTGACATGTAAACTCAACCAACCTAACCTAACGTATGTAATCTCGCAAACTGTTACTGCTGGAGCGTGTTTGAACCCAATGGGACGCTAAACTTATGGACCTGTGCCAGACTAACCTAGACAACGTAAAAAAGTCGCATAGTAACTAAGAGTTAGTAGGTAACGTGGTAATGGTGTTGAGTAATACTTAATGAGTCTAATCTAATTGATCATTACAACTGAGAAGTGAATAATGATCCACACTGAGTGCTCCACACAAAATTTCGACATTAAGTAATCCGTAAATTCAATACTCTAACACAATCATTACTCTTTCTTTGACCATCCATTCGAAAAAGATGATAATTTAAAAAATAATGAATTTTTTCTATTTATTTATAATAACATGTTGGAAATTTTGTTAACAACTTAATTCG